TGGCTCTGGAGGGGCCCGAAAATCCGGAGGGAGAGGCCCTCCCGCTCGACCTCGCTTCCCAGGAGGGACGTCCGCCCGAAGGTGGCGAGGCGGGAGGGGACTTCTGCGGTGGGCGACGGACGCCGCGGGCAGAGGCCGCCTCCGGCTGGGGGGGGGGGCACCCCTGGGCCGGCGGCCCGGGGACGGTGGAGGCAGGGCGTCCGCGGCCGTTCCTCGCTGGGGGCGGAGGGCTCGGCGAGCGCCGTGCTCAGAGAGACCCCCCGAGGAGCAGCGTCGGCTCCAAGAGATGTCCGCCCGCGCGGGTCGCCGACTCCGGCTGGCAGCCGCACGTGACGGTCGGTCGGGCCAAGTCACGCCTGAGTGCCCTTCCCCCGGACTTCCGGTGAGGTTGAGCAGCAGTGGCACGGCCCCATACATAATCCCCCATCCGGGCCGAGGTGTCTCGCGAGAGATCGGTCTACACTTGCGTCTGGCGCAATGCGAGTACTACCCCCTTTTGTCCCCACCTTTTGTCCAGGTAGAGCAGAGTGCAGCACTGCAATGGAGGTTGGTTGGGTGCGGCTGAAGCTGCATGAGCCCATCACGCCTGAGTGCCCTTCCTCGGGGGTTCCGAAGATGTGGAGCAGCAAGGGCACGGCCTCATACATAATCCCCGATCTGGGCCAGGGTATCTTGCAAGAGATCGGTCCAGACTTGTGTCCGGCGCAGTGCGAGTGGCGTCTCCCCCTCTCAACTCTAAAATATGATGGTCGACGCGTGTCGGAATTTATTCTGGATCGTAAATACATCACTGATCTGGGCCTGGGTGTCTTGCAGAAGATCGGCCACGAGAACGTCCCTGGCGACGAGCACCGTGCTCTTGGGGTCTGCTCGGAGAGGCCAGATGCATCACCACACGGGCCCCAGAGTACAGCTGTCCCAGTGCCAACATGTTAGCTTCTCACGAAGGCACCAGTACACATATCCCACACACGAAGAGCCCTGCCTGGACGGCGTATCGGCAATATTGGCTTGGTAACAGAGATGTGCAATTCGCTGCTTGGAAAATCAACGTCCAAAGAGCGGCACTGCAGTGCCTAGGGAAACGCACGCTGGATGCTTTGTCCCAGCGCAGCGTAGTCGAAGTCGAAGCCGGACGTCGCTACTGGTACTTCAGCAGTCGTCGAGGTCGGCATAGCACGTCGCAGTGCATGGGGACAACGGACAAAGAGGCGATGTGCGGTGGTGACAGGCAAGTGGCCGTGGAAATCATGAGGCGAGGGAGTCCAGGGCTGACTGGTTGGACGTGGGGGTGTCAAACGTACTCAGTCTTGTCGTTACTCAGGCGTCATCTGCCGCCTGGTGGCGTTGGCGGCGGGGTTATGACAGAAGGCACGCTGGTCGTAGTCAGCCTTCGGTTGAGGCCATGGCCAGGGTAGGCAACCGCGGGTTATGGGTTGGTCGACCAGGCCAGCGGCATTGCAGCATTAAGTAAACTGAGAAGGAAGACCCTAACCAAATCGATGACGGAGAGGGGGCCTAGACTTGGTAAGGGGCTTCTTCGAGGAGGAAGTCCCTAAGTGGCCAAACCTGGATAGCCCTATTATAGCGGCGCTTGCTCAGTGGGACTCCTGCCCTCTGCGCGTGGACTCATACGTCAACCACAACGGAGCGGCGATCAACAGGAGGGCGTCATCTTCAAAGATCACATGTGCGTGACGTCTCTCGCGCAAGCCTCTTTGATTGCGTCTGGCACGCAGAAGTGCCAGATTGCGTGCTCGCACGACCGTTACGTGTGAGCGGCGCGCAAAAACGGGTCTTACGCGAGATGGCATGGCAAGCCTACGCTGCGGCTTACGCCACATGAAAGACGAGGGTGCTTACGCGCGACCTTACGCGGGCAGCTTGCGCGCGAATGTCGGCGACGACGACCCCGTTTTCTTGCGTCGCTCATGTGTGCGCGTGTCGAAACACAAGACGTGCGACTGTTGTAGCGGAGATGCGTGAGCGGTGGATGGAAGCGGACAGGAAAACGGAGTAGCGAACCATGGCACCTTCCATGGTATCCGAATCAGGGGGCAGAGCCAAGCGGTCCTGGTGCCGTCCACAATCTTCCCCAGAGCACTACGGAAATCGGACATGTCGTGGAAGAACTTGCAGGACAGGAGGAAGATAGAAACATATAGAAAGAGAGAGAGAGAGATAGATAGAGAGAAAGGGAGAGAGATATTGACAGTTCGACAGTCCAAATATGCACACGTACATGTAGATGGAGAGCGAGAGAAAGAGAGAGAGAGAGAGAAACAAAAAATGGCGAACGAAAGGGAGAGATACACGAGGGTTGTTCAATGACTCGGAAACTGCAGAAGGAGGGCAAGGTGTAGATGGGAGTGATGTGAGGATAAAGAAGACGCACGCAATGGCCACCACAGGAACATGTGCGACCGGGCACCCTGGTGGACCCCCCTCGCCAGGTCGAAGGATCAGACATCACATGATTGAAGGGGCCCCAGGACACACAAATAAATACACACAAACAACATAATCCCCCATACTTTCCCATATTTTCTGGGTTTTTGTCTTCCCCCCCACTTCCCATGTTTCCCCATATCTTCCGGGGAAATTGTGTCTGTGTCGAGCCAGACAGGCAGACGCCACCGCTCCCACCACACCCGGACACGGGACACCGCCGATGGCAGCTCGGGGCCGTGGCTCAACCTGACCCCTGCATGCCTCGCTGGCTCCAAGGGGTCGACGGCAGGGGCGAGCACCGGCGCTGCACACGACCCAAACACTGCTGATGAACTTAATCCGCCTCTCTCCTCCTCCTCCTCCTCCTCCTCCTCCTCCTCCTCCCCTCCCTCCTCCCTCCTCCTCCTCCTCCTCTCCTCCTCCTCCCTCCTCCTCCTCTCCTCCTCCTCCTCCTCCTCCGCTCTCTCCTCCTCCCCTCCTCCTCTCCTCCTCCTCCTCCTCCTCTCCTCCTCTCCTCCTCCTCCTCCTCCTCCTCCTCCTCCTCCTCCTGCTCCTCCTCCGCCTCTCTCCTCCTCCTCCTCCTCCTCCTCGCAGAGCTCCCCTGCTCCTCGCGGATGGCGAGGCACCGAATCGACGACGCGCAGCTGCAGGGCGTGCATGAAAGGAGTTGACCACCAAGCCCATCGGATACAACGAGTGTTGCGCGTTGCCGGCATCGACGGCCCTCGAGGAACACGCGGAACGCACAGCAACGTCCACCCCAACCAGATGCTAGGCATGCAGAGCCTCGCCCGTCTTCTCGTTCAAGTACTTCCAGCCTCGGCCGTCAGCGAAGCACCCGCGCCGCTGCGCTGCCCGTGGCGATGCCCGCTTCCGCGCCGACGACGCCGACAACTGCACTCGATTCGTGAATACCTCATGGGTGCTGTCTTTGTGGGCCCCGGAAACGGCAGGGCCGTTTTTTTTTAACCGTTTCCCCAAAAATGCCCCTTGAAAATAGAAACGGCAACAAAAAAACGACGACTAGAAACGGCAAAAAAACTGTTCCAGGATTGGAACCGGGGCTGGAACCGGTCAAAAAACGGCGACGGAACCGGTAACAAAAACGGCGTCGGAGCAGGCAACAAAAAACGGCAGAACGGAAGCGGTAAAAAAAAGGCCCTGTCGTTTCCGGGGCCCACGAAGGGTGCTGCCACGGACCTCACATACACCTGCGAAGATGGAGGAGGAGGGTGGAGGAGGAGGAGGAGGAGGAGGAGGAGGAGGAGGAGGAGGAAGAGGAGGAGGAGGAGAGGAGGAGAGGGAGGAGAGGAGGAGAGGGAGAGAGAGAGGGAGGAGAGGGAGGAGGAGGAGGAGGAGGATGGGAGGAGGAGGAGGAGGAGGAGGAGGAGAGACCTCCCCCTCTCGTTCTGGTCGCACGTCCCCTCCGCAGCGCGGGAGGACGGTCGGCCCAGCTGCCCGCCCCGCCCCGGACCGTGCTGCACGGCTGGCCCAGGCGCTTGCGCAAGAAGCGTCCACAGAGCTGGGCCCCCAAACCCCCTCGAGTCATGAAAAAATCACGACGGGAGGTTTTTCGCCATTTTGAGCCTCTGGGAACCTTCACCGGCCCTCAGGACCGCCAAAAAACAACTCGGGATGAAAAACCGGTCCCGGGGAAGGGGTCCGGACCTCTGGGGGCCGCGTCATGAAAAAATCATGACGTCGGTGGTCTGGGCCCAGAGGTCTCTGGCCAGTCGTGGCTCACTCGTGATCTGGACCAGCGGGCGGACGCTGGAAACCCTGAACCCGGAAAGGTTGTCCTCTCTTGGGAGGTCGCCGCCGAGCTTCCGCCGGGGAGGCGGCCTCGTTCTACTTCCGCCGACCTCCCGCCGCCTGCCGCCGAGGAGGAGATGACAATCCCTTCGATCCTGCGCGCGAAGGAGGGGAGAGTAAGGAGGAAGAGGAGGAGGAGGAGGAGGAGGAGGAGGAGGAGGAGGAGGAGGAGGCGGAGGCGGAGGCGGAGGCGAGGGCGGAGGCGGAGGAGAGAGGAAAGCAAGGCGCCTGTTTATGGAACGCCTCACATCTCGCGGAGCCCGTGATGCCCAGAATGCACCGAGCGGCGCGACGAGAGGGTCGGCTCCCGGAGAGCACGTCTGCCGGCGGCCGCGGTGCGATCAAAAAGCACATGTTTTGCTCGCGGCTGCAACGGGCTTTATATGGGGGAGAGGCTCCTCCTCCTCCTCCTCCTCCTCCTCCTCCTCCTCTCCTCCTCCTCCTGCTCCTCCTCCTCCTCCTCCTCCTCCTCCTCCTCCTCCTCCTCCTCGGGGGGACGGAAGGGGGCATAACGTAGCGCCCCCCCGCCCCCCCCCCAGACTGTGGTGCTGGACGCACTGCGGCAGTGCCGGGGATGCGCTGAGGGGGGGATTGTTCCATTATGGGGAGGGGAGGGGGGGAGGGGAGGGAGCACAACGCGCGTCATGGCCCAGGGGATACAGAAAGCACTCTCAAAGCAGGTGCCGCAAGGGGGTGAGCGGGCTCCCCGCCAGCGGGCGGGCTGGCAACATGGGAAGGCCTCCTTCTCGTCTTCCTCCTCCCTCCCCCCCCCTTTTCCCCCTCCTCACCTCCTGCACTTCGCTCCTCCTCCTCTTTCGTCTCCTCAACTTGCTCCTGGCTCTGCTCAGCGTCGTCGTCGTCACCCTACCCTTCCCCCTCTGGGCCTCCCTGGGCCCCCCGCCACCCGCGATATGCCAGTTCATCAACATTGGGAGGTCGTGCATGAGAGCCTGGGCACGCCCGAATGGGGGGGGGCTGCGAAAGGGATGTAGGCGAAGAGGACTGGTGGGAGGATGGAGGGAGGGAAAGACGAGGGGGAGGGGGCCATGAGGGTACGACGAAGGACGGGGGGGGGGAATGCAAGAGCCAAGCATACACAATCAGTCACTGAGCCAGCTCAAGCTCGCCTGGGGGAGCCGATATACACAAATACATGGTCGGTCTGATCTGGCCTGGTCTGGACCTGAGCTGGCCTGGCCCGGGGGCTGCGGAGCGGAAGGGGGAGCGGGAAAGGGAGGGGGGGCGGCGGCAAAGGGAATCTCCAGCGGCAGAGACGAGCGAACAAGAGCCGCAATCGCAGCTACACGCCGTTCCCACTGACTTGAACGGCCAGCGACCTCTGCACGCTGAGTCGACGTTTCTGTGTTTGACGGTGTTTGACGGCTCTGAGACCCGCGACGGGCCTGACAGCACGAACGCGAACACGTTCTTTTCGTGTGTACGTAAGAAAGGAAGCTGCCTGCGAGGACTAGTTGGGTCGCTCTCTCTCTCTCTCTCGCTCTCTCTCTCTCTCTCTCTCTCTCTCTCTATGGATTAGAACCATCGCGCGCGTTCAGGGTCTAGCGCAGGCCAGGGGGTCGCTGGGAGAGCTTGGACAACGCTATCATGCACAAGCGCGTGCCATGGTCCTTCCCATCTTACGCCCATCCTAACACTTACCCTCATCATCCTCATCCTAAGCATCGTCATCGTAATAATCATTATGATCCTGATCATAATGACCATCACCACCATCAGCAACACGAATATTGTTTGAGGCACAAGTCGCCCGATACTGCGAGCCATGCTGGCACGCCAGACTCGAGCAGAATCATCATCGCCACCATCATCATCCATCATCCGTTATCATCACACCACCATCACCATCATCATCAGCATCATCACCCTCACGATCATCAGCATCATCAGCATCGTCTTCGTCATCATCGTCACCCTCATCATCCCCATCCTAATACCAGTCCTCCTCCTCCTCCTCATAATCATCATGGGCATCATCAGCTGCATCGTCTTCGTCGTCACCCTTAAATTCCTCCTCATCATCAACATCCTCATCATTACCAACATCAGCATCACTATCAACATAATCGTCATGATGATCATCATCATCATCATCATCATCATCATCATCAGCAACATCATGCTGACCATCATCACCATCATCCTACTATTCATAATCATCTGCATGCTCACCCTCATCACAACCATGATCATCATCATCAGCATCACTCTCGTCATCATTATCCACATCAGCATGGTCAGCATCGTCACCATCACAATCAGCATCATCATCACCATCATCATGAACCATCCTCACCATCATCAGTATCGGCATCGTCATAATCATCACCATCAGCAACCACATCATCATCAGCATCATCATAATCATCATCGTCATCATCATGTTCATCACCATCACCATCGTCATCACCATCACCGACGGCAGCATCATCATTATCACCAGCATCATCATCAGCAACATCACCATCAGTATTTCCATCGTCATGGTCAATAGCAGCCCAATCAGCATCATCATCAGCATCATCATCATGATCATAATCATAATCAGTATCAGCATCGTCATCATCATCACCATTACCACCACCACTAACATCGTCATCATCATGATCATCATGATCATCATGATCACCATGATCATCATCAGCATCATCATCGTCATCATCATCATCAGGATCATCATGATGATCATCATCATCATAATCATCAGCATGAGCATCATTATCATCATCACGATCACCATCACCATTACTATCATCATCATCACCATCACCATCACTATCATCATCATCATGACCATCATCATCACCACCATCACCATCTTCAACATCATCACCGTCATACGATCAACAACACCATTCGTCCGAAACTCGTCATGCTGACCAGCATCACGATCGCCGTCCTCGTGCCGTCGGCCAGCTGTTCCCAGAAACACCTCAGAGAACATCAGGCAGCCTGCGCGCCTCGGGAAGCATCTCGGACGTGCGGGGGGCTCACGCGGGCCGTTGGGAGTGAAGGACTTTGGCCTCCAGGGGGCCTCTTGGACGTCTCTTGGGAGCCTCTTGGGGACCTGTTGGGGCCGTCTTAGGGGCCATCTGGACCAGTCTGGCGCCGTCTGGAGGCCATCTGACGCCATCTTGGCGGGCTCGAGGGCCGTCTCGAAACCATCTTCGGCCGTATCGGAGCCATCTCAAACTGTTTGTGGGGCGCCAGTGGACCTTCTTGGCCCTCTCTGCGACTCCTCTGGAGCCGTTCTTGGACCATCATGAGGCCTCAGAGGTCCATCGAGAGCGAGAAGGCGAGATCTTGAACAACCGATGGTTTTCGTTTGCTTGCTTTTTTGGAAGTTGGCATCCAAGGGGCCTCTTGGACGTCTCTTGGGGGCCTCTTGGGGGCCTGTTGGGGCCGTCTTGGGGCAATCTTGAGCTCTCCGGGGCCGTATGGAGGCCAGCTGGAGCTGTCTTGGCGGACTCGAGCATCGTCTGGAAGCCATCCTCGGCCGTATCGGAGCCATGTAGAAGTATCTGGGACGCCCCAGTCAACGGTCGTGGGCCTCTCTGGGGTTCCTCTAGAGCCATTCTTGGACCAGCCTGAAGCCCCAGAAACCCCTCGGGAGCGAAAAGACGAGATCTTGAACAACCGATGGTTTTCCCGCGGGTGTTTCCAGGATTTAGGTCTCCAGGGGGCCTCGCGGAAGTCTTTTGAGAGCCTCTTGGGGGCCTCTAAGGGCCCTTTATGGGGCCATCCTCAACTGTCTGGGGGGGTCTGGAGGCCATCTGGGGCCGTTTGGGCGCCCTCCAGGGCTGTCTTGAAGCACTGTGGGGCCTCTTGAGGCCCGTCTTGAATGACCCTCGGGGCCCCAGTCCACCCGTGGAGGCTCCAGGCGCCTGGTTATGGCGACCGAAGCTCCAAAGACATATGTGTATGTATGTGTACAAGCATACAGACACACATACATACCTACATACGTACATACATACATACATACATACATACATACATACATACATACATACATACATACATGCATGCATGCATGCATGCATGCATGCGTGCATGCATACATACATACATACATACATACATACATGCACACATACATACATACATACATTTACACATACATACACGCATGCATGCATGCATGCATGCATACATACATAAATACATACATGCATGCACACATACAAACATGCATACGTGCATGCATGCATGCACGCATGCATGCATGTATGCATGCACGCATACATGAATACATACATTCATACATGCATACATGCATGCATACACACATACATACAACTATACATACAAGCATACAAACATACATATATACATGCATGATTGCACGCATGTATATACACATACACGCATACACGCATACACATATACATACATACATGCATACATACATACGTACATACATACATACATACAGACATACATACATGCATACATATACACACATACCTACCTACCAACATACATACAACCATTCATGCACACATATACACACACGTACATACGTATATACATACATACATGCATATATACATACATATATATATATACATACATACACCCATACATACATACTACATACATGCATGCATGCATGCGTACAGACCTACCGATATACATACATACATACACACTTTTGCACACATGTAATGTTGCTCCCTTGAGACCATCAATATCACCTTGAACCGTGTTCACGTGAATACCTCGTTTCTTCGCATGTGCCATCTTTACATCCGTCGCGTCTCAACATCATCATTCCTCACTTCCCTCGTTTCTGAACCCTACGACAACGACCATCTCCCAGATGCACGAACATTATATTGAATTCAACTGAGATTCTGACCAGATTTGAAATCAAACTGAGTCGATCCCAGATCCAGGAGATGCTAATCAAATTTGAACCAGATCCGATGGAACTCAATTAGGAACGGAGCAGCTCCCGGACCCAGGAGATTCCTTTGAAGTGCACTTCCATAGAGGCAGCCACGAACACCACTGCTCAGAAAAACGTCGTCATCCTCCTTCGATTCGTATTCGTCTTTCGTATGACCTCACCATGTTGCTCCCCCTTCTCATCCTCAATTGCCATCTTGTCCTCCGCATGGCCTTTCCTTCCCCGTATCATTTCCTGTGGTCTTCCTCCTGTGGTTTCTCCTCCTGCTCCTCCTGTTCCTCCTGCTCCTGACGCTGCTGCCGCTGTTGCCCCTTCCTCTGATGAGGAGGGGGAAGATAAAAAAGAGGAGGGATACCGAAGGATTTCGAATAGGAATAGGAACCTACGATGATTCGAATGGGAATGGTGTAGATCCCAGATCCAGAGGGTTCTGATTGAATTTCAATTAGATTATGATAAGATGCTAATTGGAATCCAGTGGATTCCTATTGAATTCAACTGGACGTCTAATCAAACGCCATTAGGGACGGAGCAATCCCCAGATCCCAAACACGCCTCCAAAAATTCGAATATGGTTCTGGTACGACCTCACTCGGAACGGAACAGATCCCATATCCAAAGCATTCGCTCGGATCTGGATGGGGTTACATTGGATGTCACTAGACACTGAGCAGACCCCAGGCCCAAAGAATTACCGAATTGAATCGGATTCCACGATGATTGAGATAGGAACGGAACAAATCCCATATCCGCACAACTCCAATTGAATTCGGGGCCGGTTTCTCATCAGCTGTCAATAGACACGGACCAGATCGAAGATCCAAGATAGTCCGATCGAATTTGAATCGGACCTCCATCGGATTTCACTTGAAACGGAGCATGTCCACCATCCAGAATATTCCGATTGTTAATTCGAAACGGATTCTCATCGGGTTTGAATTGAAACGGCGCGCATCCCAAATCGGAATCTGATCGGATTTCACCTGAAACGGAACAAACCCCATATCTAGAAGAGTCCTA